AAAGGACAAAGGAGAGGGGTTTGTTAAGCGGCTGGCAACTGGTAAAACCGCGAGAAGCCGCGGATCCCTATTACTGGCCAGAGGAGGACGGAAATTACCTGGACGCCATGTTAGTTCGGGGCAGAGTCACTTCCGTCTTGGGGAGCTACTGTACCGTAGACCTAGTTGGGATTTAATGGATGCCTGAGGCACGTGTACGTGTTTACCTCGTTTGGGTGTTAGGATCGTCTCTTAAAGAGTCCTCCTTTTTTAACATTTTCCAGTTGCTACTGTCTCTTTGGAAATGTGAATAAATAAGATGCAAGCCCTAACAACTACACCGTGCGTTGATTGGAGAGCTGACTCCCTAAAAATTGTATTCGTACATTCTCTCATTTATTTTCCCCAGAAGGTGAGGTTGAGTTACTTGCTCAAGTTCATATGGCTAGTAATTAAAGGTCTGGGATGCACATCTGTTATGCCTGACCCCAAAGTCTGGTTGCTCTAAGTCCTATCTAATTAACTTGCCCTGCTCCTTGGTTTTGCTGATAAAGAAGTCGGAAATAGGTATTTTATTAGCGGCATCATAATCATAAGGCATTTATTGAAGTATGTCCTATGACCTTGTAAGCATGAAGAAGTATCTCAACCTTGTTCCTATTTCATAATCGTTGATTGCCTTCCCTACTTCCACAGCCTTTTGGGTTAAATTTTAAGTAAAATTGATTTTTTTTGTTAATGAAAGATTGGACCAATGGATCTACAAGGCCCTTTTTCTTCTCTATGATCAATGTCAATTTAAAGAATATTGCAAGTCATCACAAGAATAGCAACATAATGGTCGACTGTGGTTTTTTTGTTTTTTTATTAAGGTGCATAAGGTTTGCAGAAAAGCATATAACATAAACTAAGAGTACTGGGTATTGTCTTTCATACAGGAAAACAATAGATGACCTTGTGACATTGCATTGTAGTGCCTTCTGGATGCTGACAATAATTAAAAGGTGGTTTGTTTGGTTTTTTTTTTTCATTTCCCATTTCGAATCATAGCCCAATTTCCTGAAAATTTGTAACTTACTATCATAATTTCTGGCTAACTAGGGTCCTGTATTAAGTTATTCAAAATCCCTAATCTGCTAATATTTGAGAATATAGTTCCTACAGTGCCAAAATTAGTTTAGTCCTGGTCGCTTCACTTATCTTAAATTTGTATAGTTCTTCCAACTGTTCCACAAATGAGATGGCTGTTTACTATTCTGGTTGTTCTGGGAACATGTCCTGGTTTGTCTGCATCTCAAAGTGTAGGGCCCAGAACTGAAGAGGAAATTCCAACATATTCATCACATAAGTTCATGGAGCTATGTAGTGGCAGAATAATGGCCTCCAGAACATGTGTATGTTCAGATCCCTGGGACCTCTGATTATGTTACCTTATATGACAAAAGGGACACTGCAGATGTGATTACAGATTTTGATATGGAATGATTATCTTGGATTGTCTAGTAGGCCCAATGTAACCATAAGGATCCTTGTAAGTGGAAGAAGGAAGCAGAGTCAGGGAGAGGTTTGAAGATGCCCTGCTGCTGGCTTTGAAGATGGATGAAGGGGCTGCAAACCAAGGAAAGCAGATAATTGGAAAAGGCAAGGGAATGGGTTCTCCCCTAGAGCCTCCAGAAGGAATGCAACCTTGCCGACACCTTGATTTTAGATCAGTGAAACCTAATTTGGACTTCTGACTTCCAAAATGCCACCTGTGGATGCTCCCTTCCATCTATAAATCTCTGATTCTCACCCTTGCTTCCGCTATCACATCTTTTCTCTCACTCTCATGTTTCTCTCTTTCACTTACAAGGGCTCCTATGATTACATTGGGCCCACCAGGCATTTCCCCACCACAAGATCCTTAACTATCACATCTGCAAATTTCCTGTTACCATATAATGTAACATATTCACAGACTCCAGGGATTAGGACATAGGCATTTGCTGTCTTCCACACCCCGTTTGGGTGAAACCAGTCAATAAGGTTGAAATGGAAGGAAATGAGGTAGAAGTAGCCATGGGTCTGATTACATAGGGCCCTATAAACCAAGTTAAGGATTTTGGACTTTATGATGGAAATGCATTGGAATACTACCAGCAGGAGAGTGACATTATGATTTATACTTCAAAACATTATTTTGGGTATTGTATGGCAAACTGACTGTAGTGGAAGCAGAGAGTCCCTCCAAGTAGGAGGCTTACAAAGTACTCCAGGCAAGAGATAATAGTGGCTTTGAGTAGGGTAGTGGAAATAGAAGAGGTGAGAATTGATTAAATTCATCTGTGGTGAAAGTACAGAGAAACAATTTAAGGATTGTTAGGCAATTATGTTTTAGCGGATGTCTAAGACGGCAGTGGGCGGATGGGAGGAACACCAAAAATGGCTGTGGAGAGTTTCAGGTCCCTAGGACAGCACGTTTTCCGAGAATCACAAAAACCCCCTCCCCCTTCTTCTTCACCACCACATCCCCTTCCTGCGCGTGCGTGAATTTCTCCACCTATAGAAAAATCCCAACTCAGCTTAAACCCGGCTTGCTTCCCTCCCCTTCCTTCTTAGCCAATAGGAACAGTCCAGCTCAGCCTAACTGGATATAAAAGGCCCACCACGACTCTCACTGCTGCTGCTCCCACTTGGGGGGGGGCGGGGGGGGGCGCGGCAGTCTGCTTGTTCATTTTGCCTGCCTAATACACTTTGGTTGAGTCCCTGTCTCCTGGTGTGTTTCTTTTGCACTCGGGCTGGGGTTTTTTCCTTTCAAGGCTTTTGGCTTGAGCAAGTGGGTGAATGGTGGTATGGTAGATATAGAATGCTGCAGGAGGAGGTTTTGGTTTGTTTGTTGCGGAAGGAGTTAAAATAGATTTGAAGAACCTGGTAGACGTCCAAGTGGAAGTGGTGAGTAGGCAATAATGTATATCATAGACCAGTCTAGAATTAAGGGGAGAGGTTGGTCAGGAGGCAAATACTTGAGTGTCATTACTCTATAGATGATAAAACCTTCAGACTGAATTAAAGTTGAACATATTATTATCAAACCAGCACACTTTTTTTGTTTTAATCTTTCATTTTGACAATTTCAGATTGTTGGGAAAACATAGGAAAAATGGTCAGGGCCCCTGAGATGTTCAGAATCTTGCCCAGCATTTGATGTAAACAGGCATATGAGCTCAGGTGTTCCTTGGTTATCGTCTAGTGTAAGTGTGCATGTGCACCCAGGTGTCCTGGATTATGGACTTATGTGGAAGGAGTGGCTCTGATCCACGGCGCCTCCCATCCCTAGGATGCCCCCCCCCCCCCCCCCCCCCCCGTGCGGGAGGCATGGGGAGGCCACTACTGCTGCTGGAGGCTGCTGCTGCTAGTGCCTCCAGGACCCTCTGCAAGGCCACTGACACTGCTGGACCTGTAAGCTGCTGCCGCTGAGGAAGCTTAGGACTGAGCTCGTGTTATCTGCCAACAGCTCCTGGAATCTTTCCCAATTACCTAGCATGGACCTGCATGTGAGGGGTCTGGGGACCCAGTCTGTACAATGGGTTTGGAGGGTCTGAGCCCTAGCTCTGACAATATAAAAGGAAACTTAGTATAACTAAAATAATAACTAAAATAATAAAACATTTTGGCTTTAGTTATGATTTGCCTTACTTTACACAGATTT